TAAATGACAAGGATTGGGTACAAGAAGGTACCGACTTGTGCCTAGACATGATATTCCTTCACAGCTTATCTACAAAAATGCTACATATATTTAAAAAATTTAAAGTTAATTGGGAAACTTCGATTTATATTATTTTAATAAAAACAGTTTGTAGAGAAGATGGTATAATTGATAGCCATGACAATGTATGTTATGATATCTTTAAATTATCACAGTTATTCATTTCTAGGGTATCACAAGCTATTAATACTCTATCTTGTCACCTGAAGTACACTATAATAACCCGAAGGAAATATCCAGATGTACGCCAGGGCTTCGCGTCAGCTTTCTTATGGAGGCTCAGCTGACTTCACCCTGCAGCTCCCCTAGCACCTTGAGAAGTGGTGGAGGGAGTTTCCTGCATGCCCCCCGCTCTGCCCTTTCTTTCCTCCTGATCTAAGGTGCTAAGGCGTCCTTTCCCTCTACAGCCGAGGCCTGCTAAGCTGGATGTGCCTTGCACACTCATCTCCTGATGGCATTATGTTATTTAGGAGTTACTGGTCACCTCTCATAACATTTTTAGCTTCTGCTGTCTCCTACTGTTTCATTTTATTAGGCTGCTACCCTCCAATTATTTACAGCCTGGGAATTCCTCTTATTTTTGTATGTGTTCCCTCTGCCCAACTGTCCTATCCAATTTTTCCATTGGTTTTCCAAATTCTCCTCTTACTTTTCTAAACTAGTATTTTCCTTTCTGATAGCCCAACAAGTCAGGCTACACAATGATTAGGAGCACAGATCCTAGAGCCTGATGGGGCAGATTTGAACCCAGTACTCCCCAGGTTCCCCGCCTCCCCCCCCTTCCCCCAGAACTAGGGCAAGTTATTTAACTTGAGTGTCAACGTCTGCACCTGTAAAATGGAGATCATCATAGCACAAGGTGTAAAAGTATTATTTTCGCTTTTCCTAGTGTTATTTCTTCCATATTCTCTCATTCAAAATCTTCTAGTTTTTCTTCTTGTCTTTTACATTTTATTTTCCAGATGCATAAATAATATACAGACTAAACAATTAAATTTCCCATTACACAGACTTGTCATTGTTCCTCACATCACAGAATTAGCAGAACTTCCTATCCTTACAATTTATATCCATCTTTTTTTTCTGCAGAATTATTCCCACAACCTTCACTAATTCATTCAGTCTCCCTCATTCTCATTAAACTATTTCTATTTTAAATGTGTGCAGGTATTGTAACAGATCTATTTTTGAAGGAATTAAAGGTTTGTTCGACACATTATGTTCAAGAGAGTAAAGCAACATTAAATAGACATAAATAAAGGATCCAATTTCTACTCAATTCTTTTCATAATCCAAAAAAGTAGCTCCATTTTAAGGATCCAAACTCTGTTGATTACAGTCAATGTTATTGCCAAAGAAAGTTTCATCTCAATTTTGACACACCCAAAAGTCCATTAGAGTTGGACAAATGGATATACGAGCAGCAAAATATTAATTCTTTTCCTGCCTTCATTGCTCAGCAAAATTAGACTTTATTTTCCCCTGAGGTTTAAGAAAAAAAATCTTTTACTTGTTCAGTTTTTTTATAGTCCTCTTTTCTGCTGTAGTCAGGATATTGCTGTTAAGCAGACTTCCTTTCACATTTTAACCCACATTGGTCTCTTCTTGAATCCATACTGGCTTTGTGACGTCCAATGCATCCCTTTTGTAACGAAGGCCCTAATGATTCCTTTTAAGCAGATATTCCCTCTGGCCAGACGTGGCTTCCTCCATGCTGCTGCCCGTTGCTCTGCCCTCTTCCATTTACTAGGTGTTTATTTACCATCTACAAACAAACATCCAGAGGGTCTACCATGTGTTAAGTACCATGTTATGAATGTGGCACTGTCCAGAAAGGGATCCCAAGAGAGGAGGGTTGTTAGTAACCTGGGCAACCTTCCATACACAGTCCCCTTCACCTAGAAATCTCTAGTAAAAGTGTCAATCCCCATACACTAGTCTACTTTATCAGCTAAGATGGCATGTGGTAAGTCCTCTGATTTCTCAGGCCTCTAAATACGATGTGACGGGTTCAAGATGCGTCTTCTCCAGACCCAAATTCTAGTTTATAGCAAATACAGAAAATGGAGGAACTCACTAAATGACATCTTCAGGAAGACAACCAAAAGAAAACCCGGGAGGAAGGAGCCTCAGGTGGGACACCTGGCCCTTCTCCGGTCGCTGTCAATTGAAGGGACTGTGCCAGATTAAAAGAGACGAGGGAAAAACATGTAGGTGCAATGCAATGTTCTGGGTTGGACACTGGATGAGACAGACAACTGTAAAGGATTTGTTTGTTTTATCCGGGAAAATCTAAATATGATCTGAGTTAGATATAAATTACATTCAAGTGTACTGAAATGGAAAGATCAATGACTACAGAGTAGGTTGCAAAACAGTTTTCCCCCCCAAATATATATACAAATAAATACTCACACAAATAAATACAAAGGTAAAGACTGTGATAAGTGTTAGTTTATATTAGTGCATTAGAGGAAGGCACGTTAAGAAAGACATTTGAACTGAAACATAAAGAGTAAGTGGGAGTTGACTAGCTGTCAACATAAATGATGAGAGAGGAACACTGATTGACTGCCTCCTGCACGCTCCCTACTGGGGATCGAGCCCGCAACTCGGGCACGTGTCCTTGACTGGAATCGAACGTAGGACCCTTCAGTCCAAAGGCTGATGCTCTATCCACTGAGCCAAACCAGCTAGGTCCAAATATATTTTTATTGATTTCAGAGAGGGAGAGAGATAGAAACATCAATGATGAGAGAGAATCATTGATTGGCTGCCTCCTGCATGCCCCCTACTGGGGGTTGAGCCAGCAACCTGGGCAAGTGCCCTGATAGGGAATCGAACTGTGACTTCCTGGTTCATAGGTCAACGCTCAACCACTGAACCATGTTTTTTTTTTTTTTTTAATAACCTGAAATATGTTAAGGTATTATTAGTAGTGATAGCTGGGTGGTGGGAATGTGACGTTTTAATTAAAAAAAATTTTGTTTGATTATACTTTATAATTTTCTACAATGCTGTAATAATGCTGTATGGCTATAATAATAAAATATTATTTTAAAAAATGACTCATTTTCTCCCAGAAGACTCATCCAAGAAATCTCACACCCACTGATTACACTAACTCTCTAGGATTCAGGCATATCCCACTGCACAGTTTATGCTAAATTATCATCCTTGAGTCAAGTTCTCTGGTAGTGTTTTGTGTGTGGCCCTTGTCCCTATTCGACTTCTTGTGTATCCCAAATCACACCTGGCAGAGTATTTTTTTAAGAATATTTTTAAAAATTTTTTTTATTGATTTCAGAGAGGAAGGAAAAGGGAGAGAGAGATAGAAACATCAATGATGAGAGAGAATCATTGATCAGCTGCCTCTTGCATGCCACCTACTGGGGATCGAGCCCACAACCTGGGCATGTTCCCTTGACTGGAATCGAACCCAGGACCCTTCAGTCTTCAGTTTGACACTCTATCCACTGAGCCAAACCGGCTAGGGCCAGAGTATGTATTTCTTTAGTGAGTATAACACCTGTGTAATGAATAGATCCTTGCTGCCATCATGGTTGACAATTTAATCAGGAAGAATGAACGTGAAAACCTCATAGACTCTTATTAGAACAAGGCTTGGTATCACATGAATTTGTATATATCCAGGTAACATATTTTACCCAAAACACAATAGCCACATCATTAAAAAGTTCTACTTAATACCACAGTTAATCTATAAGCCTATTTATCCCATCCTTCACTATAACTAGGCTAATTAGCATTCACATAATTCTAATGTATAATTAAAGACTTTTCCAAACCCATGCTAATCACTGGAGATAACACATATACATCTTTATTTGTGCCTGATGTGATTTTAAAGGTGTTCTACTTTAAACATCTCAAAAATTCTGGGTCATGATAAACTATAGATCTTTTCTCTCACTTTCAGGGAAGGCTGATAAGTAGGAAGCACAAAACAGATATGCAAATAGATGCTTATGCTAATGAATCCTTTAAAAACACGCTTCATAAAAGAACTTGACACAGCACAGTCAACTCCAAAGCTCTCTCTTGACAAGACTGAAGCAAGTTTTCTAAAAAGGCATTAAAATGAAACAGTACAAGTAACTCATTCCCAGCTTTCCACTTCAGACCCTGAATCTCAGCTCTGGTACCAATGACTGCCAACACACGCTTTGTTGTATATAAACAAGGGAGAGTCAATAGAAAGTCATGCACTGAATTACAAGCAGAGTTTGTCGTTCCCATTAAAAACTAGTTTGCTTGTGCTTTGCTTTTCTTCTTCAGGGGTGTGAGTTTTCTTTACACAAGCTGATTTCAGGTTCTCTCCAGAAATCACTGTCTCCTTAAATTATCTGAGTTGGCTGAAACACCAAGTCCTCTTTCAGACTTGATAGGTCAAGTTCTAACTGTTCTCTAAACTGGTGCTCACATGTTCACTTTCAGTAAACACTCACAATAGTTCAGTTGCTGACAACGTTTTTACTCAAAGATGAGCTTCTACTAAAGAGCTTTCTGATACTGAGTTATTTCAATGTGTTATATCCTGATATGTTCTGATACTCCAACAATGTACTAATTCATAAAATGCCTCTTCACCCCAGCGTTTAAAAGTTTCCCTCAAACATAAATCCATTAATCTCCCAGACTGCCCTATGAAGTCCAAAGAGTATATTTGAACTCTGCACACAAAATAGTTCCCGAATGAGCTTATAAATCAGTCGTTTTCAGCCATATGCACAGAGAACTAACTACCTCCTGCATCTCCCCAACAGAGACACAAGAACATTCCATATAAAGGTTGATTTTCAATCATCTCCTGTAAATATTTTAAAACTGAAAACATTTTTTCTACTGTCAGAAGTTACAGTGAAAAAAATAAGCATGTGGCAGATATGAGGTTGTTATAAATTCTGTAAACGGCTTACCTATTAATGTAACTGAGGGCAACATAGGTTGGCTGCTGTAATTCTTGTTTTTCTAAAACACGTGGATCTGTATCTGTAATAAAAAACACAATTATGATTTTCAGCTTTTGCATCAGAATATATGAGCCTACCTAACATAAACTAATAAAGGCTAGACAGAGAAAAAAATTAATTTACTAGTAGTATACCTCTTTTTAAAGAAAACTCAGCAAAGCACAATCGTTTGTCCATTCATTCGCAAATAACAAGATATTGCATTACTTTTCAAGGGAATTCCAAACATCAACAGTGATAAAATGTCCATCTGTCACGCAAACTCTTGCACAATCCCCCTCATAAATATTGGTTTTCACTGCTTACAGTTACAATGTTGGCATGGTTTTCGGTGGTTAATCGGCCTAAGAAAGAAAGTCTCTGTTAATTATGCTCACTTCAAGGCTGGAACAAATTAGTTGCCATTGGAAAGAGCCATCAATTTGAAAATGTACGGGGCATTGTTCTTGTTTGCTGAGCACGTTTCTGGATTGGGATTCACGTTCCGGAGGGCAGCTCTTCAACTTTCGAATTGTAGAATGAGTTTGTTATATCTTCTCTAGACTCTCGATCAGAAATCCTCATACTGGTTTGGAATCCACAAACACCACATTCTTCAGAGGGGTTTTTCCTCTCCAAGACACAGAATTCAACGCCATAGCAACCTCTGGAAGGCTGCTTCTCACAGCACCAAAAAAAAAAAAAAAAAAAAAAAAAAAAAAAACCACCAAAACACCTGCACTGCTAAATATGCAAACACAATTGTTTATGCAATAAGAGTGGAGGAAGAGGAGCACATTTTTGTTTTCTCAGAAAAAGGTTCAGACATTGCACACAGATTTCTTTTCATTTTAACCTCCTTTAAAACCATCTCATTTTTAGAACTCTTCCAGCTGCACTTGGCAGTCACACCTGCTTTGATGTAACGACAGATGCTGTTTCCAGCACCTTGGTACAGAAAGTGTTTCCTGCACGTGGTAGAAGTAAGATCCACCCATTAACTCCAAAAGGCATTAACAGGGGATGAGCAGGGGTGCAGGTACAGTGGCCAGGAGCACGGGGGCAAAACGATAGCACGGAAATCAATCGACAAGGCTTCCCACTGGCAGATTAAAACTGGACAGCAGTGGCAAACTTATTCCTGGTGTGCTAATCACGTCACGTTCACTTGACTCTTTCTCCTCTGCCAAGAATTTCTGGGACATTCTATTCACAAACCCTGCTTCCTGGGTCTTTGCCATTGTAGGTCCTTGAAAGCCAAGTTCTGAAACAAGAGACAAAGATTCTCTGAATGGCTCCCTCAAGTCGGATCTCAAGGGTTTGACAGCACAAGTGAGGACAGAGAGTAAGTCAGCATTTGCTCTCCTACAACGGTCACGCTGCAGCTGAGACTGTCTGCAGGTCACTGGCCTAGAACTACCCCCGTGGTTCTCCAAATTCATGGACAACAACCACTCTTCAAGGGAAACCTGGTTCTCAAACACAGCCCGTACTCACACTCATCTGCTTGCTGTGGCCCCAAAGTATGTCCACATTTCGGAGAGGAACGCTTTGTGCACTTCACTCGTGCTCACTGGAGAGTAGGCAGTGGACAATGCTCACCAGGGAAAGGTGTTTTATTCCTAAAAACGGTCCATTGGAATGCTGGGCTGGCCACGTGTGCAGATGGTGACTGACAGACCAATCCTGCAAGCTTTTTCTAGGTGCTTAACGAAGTGAGGCATGAAAGATTGGAGAGAGAAGCCAGGAAGACAAAGAGAACGGAGAATGATGAGAAAGAACAGGGTGATGATTGCAAATGTCTGTGCGGAAAACATCTCAAAAACTCACAAAACCATTTTGCTCCAAGTTTAGGAACAGATGATCGAGATGCTTAGCTTTTGAGACGGGGCCTGAACCTGATTCATTAAAACTCATTCCTTCAGAGAGACATCCGGTGTGTTATTTTGAAAGAAAAAAACTTCGTTCTGAATCTAAAATGTGTGTATAAAGGGGAAAGAGTTAAGAGGCCAATTGATATTTTTATGTCCTCCACTTTTGCCTTTATTTTTGTAACTGATGCCCAGTATAACAGTATTCGCACAAACCATCTTTTAAAGCTTTCCTTTGCTTCCAAATTATATAATTTTTGAAATATTTTCAATATTACCTTCATAAGCTACCTTTACTTTTTCTTTTATTAGTTTGTATGTGTAGATGTACACACACAATTTGTATTACTCTCTTTTTAAAAATATGTTTTTATTACTTTTTTTTAGAGAGGAAGGGAGGGGACAGAGAGACAGAAACATCAATCACTGCCTCCTACATGCCCCCTACTGGTGATCAAGCCAGCAACCTGGGCATTTGCCCTAACCAGGAATCGAACCAGTGACTTCTTGGTTCATGGAACCACTAAACCAGGCTGTATTATTCTTTTCTTCTTCACATTTCAGTACCTCTCTGGAAAAGGGGAAGAAAGTATCTTATGTCCAAACAAAATGCTGTTGGCCATTGACATTCACACAAACTTGTAACATTGCTTCCCAAAGAATCAAGAATGTTTGCCTTCTATTTGCAAAGCAAGGTTTTGAAAAGTTTTCTTACTTTGTTCCACCACCTTCCATTACCTGGACTTAGGCTCACATGCCCTGAAATTGTGAATGGTGAAATGGACTTCCAGAAGCTTCTAAAGCCACCCTCTCCATGACAAAAAGGCCGCTTGGAAGCACCTCGGGCAGGATTCACCTTTGTCTAGGATGCAGACTCTTACGTGACAGGAAAGCAGAACTTCCAGAGAGACGCCCATCAGGCCTAAAATATCATGTCCACATCCAATGCTTCCTTGGGCAACCTTTCGAACATCCACTAATGCTTCGAGTTCTTAAAATGAAAGGAGATATTTGGTACCCATAAGTCAGGAGAAGCTGCTCGGAGCCTCCTCACACGCTTCCTGGCTGACTGGTTCGAGGTAACCCTGACTCACCACTTTATGGACTGAATTACGCACGTTACCAGCATGAACTGAGAATAGCACTACTCACTGGATATGACCAAATTCAGTAAGGACATCCATATGCCATGTGCCACACCACTGAGCACTTCTTCACTTTAAGTTGCTACAAAAAGAAATGCGATATGAATTGTGCTGGCTGCCGCACACAACCTCCCAGATAGTTCTCCCGCTTGTTTGTTTACGATGCCAATAAAAATATGAAACTGGAACATTGGCTGCTATTGCCCAGAGATATAATCCGCCTCCCGGAGATGGGCTGTGGGATAGAAACACTTGAATTTCCATGGCCACGTGATGCTCCTTAGGCTGGCAACTGGCAAGGATGCAAGCGTTTCTGTAAGTGGCTGCTGTCTTCAGCCACACATCGGCTCTGCCACTTTCCTATCACTGAAAAGAGAAGGAAGAGAAACCAACCTTTTCAGCAGGACGGGGTATAGCCAAAAAACACACTGAGAGGTTACTGTTTTCTGCCTCACACCACCTCTTGCACACTCACAGAGTTCAAGTTCACCCAGGGCTAAGAGAATTCAAATATTAAAATAGATTTGAAAACACCCAAGCGATAAAAACCTATGGGCTTGCTTCAAAGTTTCTGAAACACAGTGTCCTCTCAACGAGACTCCTTACTGCAGGGCTAAGCCTCGTCTATCGTTCCCGCCTGGTCTATCGTTCCTGCCTCGCACAGACACACTGCGCAAGGACAGACACAGGCAATGAGTGGAAGCTCCCATAACTTCCAGTGGCGAAGAAAAAAGCCAGGACGCTGACAGCAATAAGAAAGGTCGACATTCAGACCCTTCTCAATAGGAATTTGAATTGCAACAGGACCAAGGAGGGCAAACCATGCAGACCACCTGTCCATCAGTAGGCCCCGTTAACCAGCCCTGCTGTCCCTGGTGTTGGGGGCCAGTGGCAACCGAGTGTCTGAATTTGTGATATATTGAGCCTTTTGTGGTGGTATCTTCAAGCCTAAATGAAAACAGTATCAAGGTTGTTGGCTGGGTTAACAGGTTAATTGATGGGCTCATGGGCTTTGGCTATGCTCTAGCTCAGTGGTTCTCAACCTTGGCTGCACATTAGAATCACCTGGGAATCTTTTTAAAATCCTGATTTCTGGGCCTCATCCTCCGGGAATTCTGTTTCTTTGTTATGGGGTGGGGCCACAACATTAGTAACAAATAAACAGAATTTCCGGAGGATGAAGCCCAGAAATCAGGATTTTAAAAAGATTCCCAGGTGATTCTAATGTGCAGCCAAGGTTGAGAACCACTGCTCTAACTGGTCTACATTGCTGGAATTTCAAATACGTGAAATTCCTTATAATAAGAAAGTCGAGCCACGCTGGTATGGCTCAGTGGTTGAGCATGACCCATGAGCCAGGAGGTCACTGTTCGATTCCTGGTCAGGGCACTTGCCTGAATTGCAGGCTGGCTCCCTGATGCTGGGTGTGCAGGAGGCAGCCAATCAATGATTCTCTCTCATCATTGATGTTTCTATCCCGCTCCTCTCCTTCCTCTCTCTGAAATCAATATTAAAAAAAAAAAAAGAGCAGTAGTACCTCTCAATAACATTGACAAGGTCTCTGTCAGCAGTGAGCTATTCGCAGGCTGGGAGGCAGCAGTGAGGGGCAGATGCGATGTCACGCACCCTGGGAAGGCCTTCTGCAATTTCTGATCTTCCCAAGGCCAGACTCTTTTCTAAGTGTGCATGGCAACCGTGGGAAGCCTGGGAGGCCGTGGGTGGGGAGCAGCGGGCCATTTACAGCTGGAAGACCCTGGAGAGGCAAAGGCCCACCCAGCCAGCAGAGTGATTTTGAAGATCTGGGCTGGATACACCACTTTTCCTTGGACTCACTCGGTAATAATTAATGGGCGCGGTCTGGTCACAGCCTTCCCCCAACAGTGGGATTCACGAAGCCACAGAGTTTTCGTTTACTCAGCATGGCCTTCCCCAACGTCCCGGCCGAGCTTGTCACATCCCCCCTCCTGTCTCTGCACCACTTCAAGCTGGCACTATCCCTGTACATATCACTGTACAGGCTTTGTCCCCGCACATCATTTCTTTTCCCTGCTTCTCAGAGGTGAGGAACTGTCTGGGCCTTCATCTCTCCAGCACTGAGCTCAGGGCCAGCATCAGGAGATGCATATAATTACCGACTAGATATGCAAATTAATTTTAGGATGAGAAAATGAAAGACTTGGGTCAAACGTAGCAGATGGGTCAAGGGCATTTGTTTCCTTCACCATCCAAGGTCCTGCTAAAGTAAAGAAATAAAGTCCCAGGGATAGAAGGGAGGGGAGACATCAGCAGGTAAGTGATTCCGACCAGTGCCTTGAATGACGGATCCCCCTAGAGCAGTGGTTCTCAACCTTCCTAATGCCGCGACCCTTTAATACAGTTACTCATGTTGTGGTGACCCCAATTTCATTGTTACAAATTGAACATAATTAAAGCATAGTGATTAATCACAAAACAATATGTAATTATATATGTGTTTTCCTATGGTCATAGGCGACGACCCCTAAAGGGGTCGTGACCCACAGGTTGAGAACCGCTGCCCTAGAGAGTAGAGGAAGCTACAATCTCCAGTGCCCGCAGCAGGGGAGACCATGATAAAAGCGGGGAACCCGCTGCCAAAGCCTCAGAGAGGCAGTGGACTTGAAGGTGCCATGTACGGCGACAGGCAAGGAAGAGAAGGATCAGGGCTGAAAACAGAGGGTTGTTGAAAAGGTTGATTATCCAGAGACACTGAACCAGGGGAAGAAGCATAGGTGAGGTAGACTGGGAGAGTACAGGCATACCTCGCTTTATTGCTCTTCACAGAAGTGTGTTTTTACAAACTGAAGGCAAGGCCTTCCACTAGCAAAAAGGTTAGCGCTCACTTTATTGCGCTACTCCTTTTATTGCGGTGGGTGGAAGCGAACCCACGATATCTCCTGGCCTGCCTGTACAGTGCTGAAAACAGGGATGGAAGTGGAAATACGCCTACTCCGCGGTTCCCAGGGACACTGGCAGCCTGACAGGGAGATTCCTTGCTGATTAAGTTAAGTGGGGCTCGGAGAAGAGAGTTCCAGATGTGGACATCTGGCTCTCCCCTAATTAAATGATCTCCCTACAGTTAAGCCCCCGGTCAGCAAGCTCCATCCTCGCCTCCACCCAGAGCCTCTCATCAGCTTTTTATTGCCTTGGTCTTAAATATGAGCCAAGAACAGTCAAGGAATGATCATTAGACATTTGAGGGAAAGTCATGAACATGAACAGGAGACACTAAAACAAATGGTGAGGAGGGAAGTAGGGGGACAGGAGCCAAGAAATAGACAAATTGATGCTGGGAAGGGTACCTGACATACCTACTGACACAAACCCACTTCACTACAGGGCTAGGATCAGAAAGCCCTGTGTCCTGAGTCCCACTGGGCCAGCGTTCTGACCAATAAAAAGGCTGCTTGTCCTCTCAGGCCAGCTCATTGCCACCGTCCAATTGCAACACTGGACTCACACAACCTTTACAGCTCTCTTAAGAGCCCAGCACAGTTCTGCTAAACTCACTCTATGTTCAGGGCTGAATTTGATGAACCAACAATTTACAAAGACCAACTTTTAATTCATGGCTAGTTTACTTCAGCTGCTGAAATACGTATTTCTTGTTGGCAATGGCCCTTTCAAAAAAAAAAAAAAATCCCACAATTGCACATAACCAGCCTTTAAATGGATCAACTTTTCCTTAGTTTATAGACACGTCATTTGAAACTTTTCCCAAGCCATAATTTCCATTACAGGGCAGTCAGTGCAAATTACAGTGAGATCCTTGCCTTCCCAAATTCAATGTGGAATCCAGACGCAGTTAAGTGTTGCTGTAAACTTTACGAGTTAAATATCTGAAAGTCAGGGACACTGTGCAGCCCAATAACACCATCTATTAAAAAAAGCATTCGTGTTCACATTCGTAGCCCAAGTTTTCCTCCACAAGTGAATGAATAAACATTAGTCAACCGAGGACCCTGTTGACAATATGCGGGGAGGCTGATTTATAAACAAACACGGCACGTTGCAGCCCTGTGGTATCTGGCATGGCAGTTTAAAGTTATTAGAAATAGCCTGGTTGGCATGGCTCAGTGGTTGGGCATCAACCTATGAACCAGGAGGTCAGGGTTCAATTCCCAGTCAGGGCACATGCCCGGGTTGTGGGCTTGATCCCCTGTGTGGGGTATGCAGGAGGCAGCCAATCAATTATTCTCTCTCATCATTGATGTTTCCATCTCTCTCCCTCCTCCCTTTCCTCTCTGAAATCAATAAAAATATATTTAAAGTTATTAGAAATAGACAGTTCTGACTAGGGTGCTTTCTAACTCTTTATCAGCCCATCATATTCCTGACTGCTTGAGAGTGGTAACTATCTTCCCTAAGTATAAGATGTGGAACCCGGTGTCTAAGACACTCTCAGCCCACCCTCTTTAGTGGTGACAGGGAGTAATCTACCACTCAAGCTCTCTCTCACCTTGTTACCTATGACAAGAGAGCCTGCCAGAGACCATCGTGGCTGCCAGATATGCCTGTGAAGCACACAATCTGCACACCCGTATACAGCAGCCCTGGAGACTGGGGTGCTGGGATTATACAACAATAAAACTCTTTCAAACAGGAGTAAGGCCAAAATGTGGTTCCCTTTAATCCAACATGCATGTGTGCATATACACAGACATTTACATGTCTGCTTCCCCAGAAATGAGCCTGATGGTGGAACCAAGTAGCATGTAATACAAAGACCATAGGAGTTTCCATGTTACTCCCTCCTGTAGGAATAGCAAGTACCTGCAAGAGAAGATTGATGCTGGTGGGTGACGCTAAGGGCCAAAAGAGAAGGCAGGGAAATGAGGCTCCTGAAGGCCTTTCTTCAAGGCTGGAGGGAAATATTTGTTTATGGAAAGAGACCTTTCATCCCTTCTGCCTAAAACTGTTTGCCCAAGGAAATCCGCCCCATCCTCTAAGGTGCTGGCCTACATACCACCTCTACCATGTGTTGTACTACATATATTTGCTAATCTGTCTCAACACCCCACCAAAATGGAAGCTGCTTAAGGGACAGATCTTAGAGGCCACAAATCCTCAGCCAGGACTCACTGTGATGTATGCCGAGTAAATGAATGCCCTGGATATGCATAACACAAAAGACACAAAGAAAAGCACCCAGCTCAGACAGTTCAGGAAGAAGAGGAAAATAGACCCATGTCTAAATGACTGTACCAGCATCTACTTTTACATGAAGAAATAGATCCTGTTGAGCACAGATGTTCAGAGGGCTACAAAATAATGCAAAATTCAGAATAATGGAAAGGGGTCAGATAGGTCTAATTTGGCAAGGTCTAATTTGAACTGAGTTG